GAATATTTAAGTCGGAGTCCCCCCAGCCGCACCGGGATAACCCATGCGCAATATTTACTAAACTGCCAACAGGCAGCTGTTAGTATATCTATAGAAGGGTTACACGATTCATCGTGCTTTCACAACACAGGTACTACCAGCTACAGGAAGCTCAAATAAGAGGTAGGGAACATAAAATGTCTTTTAAAAGCCACAAGCACTACGCCGAATTCTGAAACATGGAAGAATGAAACAGATCCAAGAGCCTAACTAACAGGAATGGGCTTTCCGCTGCTGGCTTTTGTGGAATCCTGCTCGCTGGACATCTTCGGCTGCAGAAGTGGGGCTTCTTCACCGTCGGCTGTCTCAAACAGGCCCTCTGTTTCACTAAAGTTATAAAAAAGTTATATAAAAATATCTTACATTCAAAACTGTACACAAGGAATACGAGTAAAACCTGTCAACGCCGAAGAAGAAGACGAAGAAGAAAAAAGAAAAAGAAAAAGAAGAAAAGAAAAAGAAGAAAAAAAGAAGAAGAAGAAGAAGAAGAAGAAGAAGAAGAAGAAGAAGAATGGTGCTGATGGGCTGACGCCTAAAACACTGCCTTAGGTGCCATGCTTTTTATTATTCAGTGAATAAAGCCTACTGAAATGACCTTAGTAGCATATTCAAATGCTCTACTCTAAAGGAAAAGCATTAGACGTTCCCCTATCTCCAGGCTGAACGTATGTACATCATCAACGTCCGGGGGAGAGACAGTACGTGTCCAAAATAATTATCACATTAATGAGATTTCAGTAGGCAATAAATGAGACCTCAAGTGGCATGCTAAAAATGTGAGGACCCCTTTCAGTCCGAGAGGTCGACTTCGACAGCGCGTCTCACAGTGAGTGCAAATTACTACCAGAGTTTACTCAGCAGAAATATATGCCCTCCTCCCCGACCCCCGACCTATTACAGGTGACGTCAGTGCAAATTTCTAGGAGGACACCTACGTCTGCGTCTTAGCTCCCCGCACAAGACCTCTTAAACCTAACAATAACCCTACTCGTTCGCGGAATTTAGCGCGTAGCCGCCTACAATAAGCGAAAAATTACATATCTAAATGTCCTACCACAGTTCGCATGCTTTACTCAGCTCTCCGAATGAGCGTAAACTACACAACCATACTCATTGGCTCTTGGACTCCATGATCGTCTCCCAGTAAAATGAGTGGCTCGTCAACGCTGTCTTCTAATGTTGCATAGGTATTTTTCATCATACAAATATAGCTCAAAGAGAGCATCCTCTTAGTGCAAGCAGCATGCAGATACGTAGCAGACTAACCGTAAAAAGGCCTTCTTCAGTACGGCCGGATCCTCGTTCTTCTTGCCTTTCAATTTATTTGAGCCCTCTGCAGCCTGGGCTTCCGGAACGGCGCTGTTGCCCGATAGGAGTACCTCCCTAACATGATCCTTCAGAAGGACCGGCTTCTCCGCCAACTTTTTGTTCTTCTTTTTCTTCGAGCTGTCATCCTCCTTTTCCCGCTCCTCCTCGGCCTCCTTCACATCCTCCACCTCCGTCTCCACCTCCTCGTCTCCCTCCGCAGGTCGAGGACGGAACCAGGTCTTGTTGGGGTCATTCACAGCCGGGTCGCCTCGACAGAGGGCGTCATAGAGCCGCAAAAAATCCTCGTGTTCTCTTTGTTCCCATTCCTCTGCAGTGGACGAGGTCGACGAAGAGGATGAGGAGGAAGAATCGGAGTCAGCGCCACTCTCGTCGTCGGCGCCGGCCGCCTTTTTCCTTTTGCTGAGCTTGATGTCACCAAAACGCGATTTCAGTTTCGAGTACTCCTCCTTCTGACGGTACTGGTTATAACGCTTGGCGAAATCCTCGTTAATTTTAAACTCCATGGTGGGGTACTGGGCGGTGGTAACACAGTGCCTACTGGCGAGGGCAGATTTTTGGTAGGGAAAATAAAAAACCGCGAAGTTAGATCAAAAAGTAGGGGCACACACAGTCACTGACCGACTTCATTCAATTTTAACCGAAATTCTGAAATACCCTTTTTGACAGGGAAGGAGTACTTAAGTTAGATTGTAGTATTTATGATCTTGCAGCAGAGTTTTCGGATACGACAGGGTGCTGGCTTTTTAACGGACGTTTAGTTGGCCGACTGAAAGTTGAACACTCGGGGGCAAAAAAGACTACTCAAACAGCATGCATTTCTTTTCGATTCCTTTTGAATGTCCTTACACAGGGAAGGGTATATCGGGAACGAGTCGTCTTCTTCTCAATTACTTTCTGAGATTCGCATGTTCGCTTTTATTGACATAAGCTAGCTGTAAGAAGGTTGGAGCCGAAGTCGGAGATAGCAACCCATGCCGCAGAAATGGGGCACGACTTCAACTTTTACGCAATTGAAGTTTTGGGCCGAGGTGATGATCACACAGCAAAGCAGATTAAAGAAGCCTGGATGTAGACCGACGGTTCAGTATACCGCCACATAAAGTCACCCGTCCCCCATGTTGTTTTAATAACTTTCTTGTCAGGGGACAGTGACGGCATGGAACAATTGGGGACGCCAACTAGCTCAACGGCCAACGTGTATATACCTTTAACAAGCCGAAGCCGAAGTGATGAACGCATATGAGGGCGAAACTGTTGTAACGGAAGCCCACGCCGAGGTATGACCGCCGATAATGCCTTGTGAGTCCCCGAAGGAAGAACACGACAAGAAGGGTGCAACAGCACAAGTTTTTTCATGTATGCGATACAACGTATTTGGGACAACAAACGCGTGTAACACGATGTCCATCGAGCCAATTAGCTTCTCTCCTGACGTAGTCGCCGGTAGGAGTGGCTGGTGACCCAGTGACTAAATGTAGCTTGAAATTTAAATTATCGATTGATTGACGGCTTGTGTACGTTCG